GAGAAGACGAGTTCAGTTTTAGCCAAAAGTGATGAAAGCGAACGCGTTAAAGCGAGTTTGAAAAAGTTACGGGAGCTAGAAAAAGATTACCAGACCGTTTCGTTTGCGAAAGACGAGCTTGAATTACAACTAGCCGAAGCGAATGAGATGTTAGGTCAAAACAAAGCCCAGGGAATGGAGTTACGAAAATACCAACAGAAATTAAAACAAGCTGAAGTACAACTTTCTGATATCGAAATTCAATATTCGAGTCTTACGACAGAGAATTCAATGTTTAAAGAAAATATAGTTCGTTTGGAGGACAGTTTACGAGCGGCGGAAATAGAAAAGGACAAATTAAAGAGCGAACTAAAACAAGCTCAAAAATCTAAAAAACCTGGCTACTCGAGAGGCGGGTTATTCATTGGTAACCAAGCCGGTAATCCTGGCACAAAACCGGAAGGCAAGGCTAACATGAAGTTTGCTGGACCTCCGACAAGCACGCCGCTGACTTCACCTCGCGGGAGCGTCCATTCAAGGTCGTTTGAAATTCCGGCTCCGAAAAAACGCGTTTTGAAACGGCATTATAGTCTAGACTCATTTAACATCGCTAATTCTAACCGTGGCTTTAACGGAAGACTGAGTACCAGTCTAGAGAATCTTGGTGGTGATTGGTCCAGAGATTATGACGTCACACAGGAAGACCTGGATACGTCATTTGAAAGTTTGACCGGAAGTGAATATTCCGTAGACCCGTCCGAAGTTGGAGCATTTTCACGGAAACTTGACAAAGGACAATCGTTGGAGGAAGTCCGCGTCAAAGGCATGGAAGACTGGGAGACAGTTTCTGACGTCAGCAGTGTGGTGACCGCTGACACGTTTATCCCGACAGACCTAAACGCCGATATGGAGGAAAGCGATACTGAAAGTTTTAAAAATTTGAAACATCGTTTTGAACAGGCCGGAGTCAAACAGCAAGCCAAGATTACGAGGAGAAGGTCTAGTAGTTTGACCAGGTCCCCTTCTCTAACTACTTTGGTTGAAAAGCACGAAGAAGCGGCGACTACTTCCGAGAAGGTGGCGAGGGTTTCCGAAGTAGCAGCGAGTGCTTCCGAAGCAGTGGCAAGAGTTTCCGAGGGAGATGCAACATCCTCAGGGCATGAACAAGAAAAACGATTGAAATTTTCCGATGGTCGTTTAAAAATGTCCGATATTATTTCGAAGACCTCCGATGATCATACGGAACTTCCCGATGTTGGTACGAAAACTTCCAACACTCGTACGATTCTTCCTAGTAATGATATAAAACCTTCCGATGATAACACGGAACGTTCCGATGGTCACGCGAAAAGTTCCGACGATGTCCTGAAAGTATCCAGACTCCCTGCGAAGCCTTTAGATCACGACATAAACACCTTCACTTTATTACAACATGTACCAAATATACAGATTCAAGAATTTGCATCGAAAGAGGAAAACATAAAAACAATACTTCCTGATACTTTGTTACGTTCAGGCGTTGGGGAAAGTATGAATGCTGAGGCGACGTTTGATACTGAAGCTACTAGTATGAGCAGTGGTGATTCACAAACAACATCGAACGACAAGGAAACGATAGTTTCTGATACCATGTCAAATCTTGGTGGTGTTGAACTGAAGAGTAGCAATGCTGAGGCGACGCTTGCCAACATGCTTGCTACTCATTCAAAACCTAGTATGACTATTGAGAATCCACAAACGACACAGCCTGAAGTTAAACCTGTTTCTACCGAAATCAAATCTCAAAGTATTTCTCAGGACGTATCTAACTCACTGTTCCCCAATCTTATTCCTGAAACTTCTTCTAAAACTTCTGAAACGTCGACAGCATTCAATGTTGTCACACAGTCAGATAAACCTGTAGCGTCTAATGCCGCTAACTCTTCGAATCAGCCTGAGAACATCGAGTCTGTTCGTTCTGGGAATATCACCGATGGTGTTGAGACAAAATCCGAAGAAAAAAGAACCGAAAATGAATTTTCTGCTGTTAAAACAGACAGTACTAAAAGTTTAGATGTAACGATGGTTTCTGAAACTTCGGCCACTGTTCCACCTGACGTATCTCTACCACGTGACTCATCTGTAGCACCTGACTCATCTGTACCACCTGACGGATCTGAACCACGTGACTCATCTGTACCACGTGACTCATCTGGATCACGTGACTCATCAGAACCACGTGACTCATCTGTACCACCTGACGGATCTGTACCACGTGATGGATTTGTACCACGTGACTCATCTGGACCAAGTGAATCATTTGGACCACGTAACTTTTCTGAACCACGTGACTTATTTGTACCACCTGACTCAGCTGGACCATTTGACGGACCTCTACCGCGTAACTCATCTGTACCACGTGACTCATCTGGACCACGTGACGCAACTGTACCACATGACGCATCTGAACCACGTGACGCATCTGTGCCATCTAACTTTTTTGACCCATATTCTCTGAATCATGCAGAATTCATTTTGATTGACTCTAATCCTTCTCAGACTATGACCGATAATACTCCAAGTAATCCCAACGGAACAAACCCCAAAATAAATGAAAAGAAATTATCGGCTGTTAAAACGGACAGTTCCAAATCTTCACCGAATGTAAATAAAAGAAATAAACCTAAGTTTACGGTCGTCAGCACAGATACTGTTGAAAGTTCGGATGTAAAAATGAAAGTCAAGGACATGAGAAGCTTGTGGGAGAAAAGAGAGAATATTGATTCTCAAAAAGTTAAATTTAAAAGAACGAAACAGACTAATACTGGAGCAAGACAGGCTAGTCCAGTTCCATTGAGGTCAATGGGAACAGCTAGTTCCCAGGCTTCTGATGTGGTGAACGACGGTGGTGAAGGTTCTGGTGAAAGTCCAAAGCCAGCCAAGGTTTCTGAGTTGGTCGGTCTGTGGAACAAGTTCTAGCAAACACTGCAGTTCATTTTTTTATTCTAGTTGAACATGTAAATTTACTTTAGCATAATATCACATTATCTTACATTTTTGTAATGGCATATTTAGTGATATTTTTTTGAATTGTTTATTCTTGTGTATTTGGTTCATTAAAGTAATGAGTGTCGTCGAATAAACGTATTTTTAAACATTACAAGTTAGTTAGTATCGCATTCAAGAAAAACTGTCGTTGCCGTATACTCGCGGTTTAGTTCGGTTCGGTTGCGCTTTGGTTAAGGCCTGTTTAAACGGATCCAACATTGTTGGACCAACATCATCCAACAATGTTACTATAATAGATAGGACTACTTCTCTTTCAAATCTTTCTGGTTAGATAAGCTTTACTCAAACTCTAAACCTAGTCTTGACAAAAATATTTGAAAAAAAGGCCGTTTGGGCCATTATTTCAACAATGTTGGATGATGTTGGCCCAACAATGTTGGATCCGTTTAAACAGGGCTTTAGCCGCAAAGGTTTAGTAACTTTAGTTGATGTGTTGGTTGATCGACGGATCTTCCAAATGTAGCTTTTGTTTTGGTAATTTTAATAGTGTACATAGATCATATGAGGTGTGCCTTGGGACCTTAACTCGCCTTAACTTGCCCTAAATCGCCTAAACTTGCAACCTAAGGTTGGCCGAGAATAAATATATCGCATTAACTCACCGTGCAAGGAAACAAAAAGGAAAAAGGCTCTTATGTGTTTACTAATTGTAACCAGTACGAAAAAGTTATAACAACATACGCCATTTAATAATAATATTTTGAACATTGACGCTTGCTTGCCGGCAACTATCAATTACGTAGCAACAATAGAAATATTTACCTACCTAAGCCAAAGACAAATTTTCTAAAAAATAGCTTTCCCTATCGAGGAGCTATGAGTTGGAATAACCTACCTAATCATATTATTGATCAAGCATTAATAGAAGATGTCTCTGTCAACTCCTTTAAGAATGTCATAAAACGTATGTCCTAATCCATTGGTCCTAATCTATAGTGTAATTAATTGCATCCATGTAAATAGTTCATGTAAATGCCTGTTTTTCTCGCTTTTAGATTTCCTTTTTTTTTTCTCTCCAATTATGTAAATATTTTAATGAACTCACGGCCCTTTGAAAAACAGATGTACTTCTGAAAGGCTACCGTGATTAAATAAGATTAAATAATAATAAATAATAATAATAATAATTAAGCGCGGAATCGATATTAGTGTAGGCACATTTATATTTTCCTTCTTAATCTTCATATTTACTATTTAGGACATCCTATGGGTCCATTCGAACTCGCAGACTATGTTGGATTGGATACTAATAAATTTATAATCGAGGGTAAGTTTTGTTGATGCATCTCTCCATTTTGATTTATTTTAATTTCATCTCACATTCAGAGAAGAATGCTTCCAGTATGACTCAAACATCGCAGGTTCTCCCTCATTTCCTCCTGTAAATGCTGTAATAACACTGGTGCAATAGAGAATGGCTCTAAACTGGACCTCTGGGGAGAACCTTATAGAACTGATACAGCTTTCCAGTAAAAATTAGTTTATTTTAGGTTTCTTCCTGTAGTAACACTGGATCAATAAGAGATGATCCTTACTGGACCTCTAGGGAGAACAATTTAGAACTGATAGAGCTATCCAGTATAAATAAAGTTAGTTTAGTTTAGGTTTCCTCCTGAAGTAACACTGGATCAATGAGAGATGATCCTTACTGGACCTCTAGGGAGAACAGTTTAGAACTGATAGAGCTATCCAGTATAAACAAAGTTAGTTTAGTTTAGGTTTCCTCCTGTAGTAACACTGGATCAATAAGAGATGATCCTTACTGGACCTCTAGGGAGAACAGTTTAGAACTAATAGAGCTATCCAGTATAAACAAAGTTAGTTTAGTTTAGGTTTCCTTCTGTAGTAACACTGGATCAATAAGAGATGATCCTTACTGGACCTCTAGGGAGAACAGTTTAGAACTGATAGAGCTATCCAGTATAAGTTTAATTTGGTCTAACTTTTTGGTTTAAAGTGCAATCTTTCCGATAGGCTGGCACGAAAAATACCCGAATGAACCGCTATTTCAACCATCGGAAAAACTGAACAAGCTTGTGGCTGAAAATAAATTAGGACGAAAAACAGGAGAGGGATTTTATAAATACGACTAAAGACGTCTTGATTGGTACGTCATGATTGAATAATTGAACTGACTTAATTGAAGGTACTGCTCTAATATATATTATGTGTGATTGTAGCATATTAGATTATGTTTTAATTTAAAGATTGCCATATTGGTTTGGAAATTTGATTTTCATAACAGCCTTGGTGCAGAAACCTTGTTCTCAGCCATGTTTCCTGAAGGTGGACAACCCAGGATTGTTTTCAAACAACACAAGACATACTTGAAAAACAAAATCAGTGTCTGAACTTGTTGCGAAACATTTAGTATTAAACAAATGCGTAAACAAAGAACATGAAACAACGAGAGTAATTATAATTATTTACAGTCTGACTCTAAAGGGTTCTTCACATGAACCCAGTTTGCCGGGACAGGAAGGAAGGCGGGATGATTTTGATGTATTGAAAATAAATCACTAGGCTTAAATGAAAGTACAAACACCGGTTAAGAAAATTCCAATGTTGTCAAAAAAATCTTGTAGTTCAAGAAGATTATTATTGCTGCGTGAACAACTTTTCGTTTATAATTATACTATAATCTACACTAGAAAAAGAATGTAGTTTTGGTGAATCGTACACCGTGACTTATTTCAATACATCAAATCATATCGCATCTCGTCCCGGCACAGTTGGATCATGCAAACAGCCCCTAAAAAATCCAATTTTAAAAAGATGTCACATAGATTTCCCAGTTCTCTTTTCGCTGTGATTCCTGAACGCCCAGCTTGAGGAACCTATCATGGTCCGTGTTTCTGCGACTTCTACGTTCGTCCCCAGTACCCTCCGCGCACTCCTCGATGCACGCGTGTTTTTCCAACTGACTATCACTGTACGAATGCCGTAGGGTAGACTGTCTCGCGGGGGTGAATGATTCCGAGATAAAAACCTCCGGGGTTGATGAAAGACGCGACACCCTCGACGGGTATCTCGATCTGCGTGATTCTTGCGTGGATCCACGCGAGTTCCTGCGCGATTCCTGCGAGGAACAACGACCGTTTCTGGAGAAGTGAAAGTCGATAGAGTTCTCAGTACATGTAGTCGCGCCTATGATAGCCGGCGTACCGCAAAATAGTTTCCCGACGCATTTTTGAAAGCGATGGTTCACCAAAGCATAAGCGACCGGGTTTAGGATTACGACTGATTTCGTGAGAAGAATTATTGTCTCTTTTATTTTATCAGTGAATATTTCCTTCTGATTAAACGCACGGCCTATTGTCACTATTTGAAATGGTGTCCAGGTTACGATAAATAAAATCACAAGTGTTGCAATGACGCGAAGTGTTTTCACTGGCGTATTTCGTAACGTGTATGTACTCGCGGGCCGTACACGCGTGTTATCCTCGCGTATCCTCACACGCGTGTTGTCCTTGAGCGACTGTGGTGTACTCGCGTGGCCGTTCACGAGCTTTCCACGACCATTCGTCAAACCCTTGCGACGATTTCGTAAAACCTTAAAAATCTTACAATAGTAATAAACCATCGTCACTAGGGGAACGACGTAGAGCAACGACAATATCACGACCGCGTACGAACCGCTTCCGAAGTTCGAAGTCGGAGTGAAGTCGACGTAGCAACCGCTGATGTACATTTTCACCTCGAGGCCTGTGGGCGCATATAGAATCGGAGACGCAATCGCAAGCGTATAGATGTATACAACAAGGATAACCAGGAGTGATTTTGGTCCTGAAATCCGCGCTCGGAGCTTGGGTCGAGAAATGACGTGATATCGATCGATGGCGATTACAGCTAGCATCACCATGGAAACACTGACCAACAAGAAATAACTGAATGCATATAAAACCGCCATGACGTCGCCGAAGATCCAGTCCGAGGCAAACAGCGAAGGGAGAGAGAATGTTAAATCCAACATGGCCAAAACGAAGTTACAAGCTGCGAGGTTGACGATGAAATTATTCGTCACAGTTCGCAATGTCTTGAAATATAGAAACAGAAATATGACCAGACTGTTTCCCAGAAGTCCTCCGATTGTTACGATGGTGGTGTAAGCCAGAACTATCATCTTACCATCCCCCCATGTATGGTAGTTGTCGGCTTCTGGAATCGCCATCTTGATGCTACAAAGAAAGTGTTTTACGTGGAGTTAAGGTGCTGTTCATATGGAGCCGGGCTGACCCGGTTAACCGGGTTGAATCGTGTAACAAAGGTCTTATCACGGCTTTGATATTCATCCAAAATGACATTCCAAAGTTGAATCAGCTTAATTCGGTTCCAGTCGCAGTATAAAGTTTATTTAAACGATATTTTACGGCCAGGAAAAAAATTCGGACACGAAGACGGAGCGCAAGTATTCACAAGGTGACAAAAATGTCTGCTTGTATGGGCGACGTTATTACACTCATTATTTTCAAGGCTAATGAGGATGTGAGGTTTCTCATAAGCTAATAAGTAATAACGATTAAGTTGTGATCCAGGGGATCAACTGTAGAATAAACACAAGTTTACAAATTTAAAGTAAACATTCTCAATAATCTGTTTTCTGTGTAATCAACATAGTGTAAGTATTTTAAATGTGTAAAATATTTCTGTGTTAACTATATATTCATTCTAGCAGATACGTTTTTAACAATTGTAAAATATTTTCGTGTTGAGCTATTAATTCCAGCACTACCGAGAACAGCGCAAAATTCGTTGCCTTAGTCTTAGATAGTGGGGAGTTAAGCTTTGCGTTCAAACGTCAAATGGTGAAGGCTAGGGGAAGAAAAAAATTACGCTACGAGGTAATAAATGGGAAATCAACTTGCTACTTTAAGATTGTAATGTATGATATTCTTTTGAGATAAGAACGAGAAGATGAAGCGAAGACTGAGTTAATAAGCAAAAATATGCCGTTCGCCGTTACCGCAAACGTGAAGCTTCTTCAACTTCCTATATAATTAGGTTGACGTTTACGCCAGACCACTATTAAACCACAAACAGCAAACTTTCATTAGAAGGTTATAGTTCCGTATAAGTGACAGCTAGATGCTTCAATTTCATGCTTCAATTTCATGCTTCAATTTCATGCTTCAATTTCAATGCGCAAATTGCCCTGACGACGCACAAGCCAACAGTTGTCTTCAAAACTTGTCGTATGCGTGCGGTTAGCCATCTGTAAACGTCAACTTATTAAGGTCTCAATATTTTTGGACATTTTGACACTGAAACAGCAAACTTTGTTTACAATATTCAATAATACAACACAGTATATTGACCGTCTCTGTCACCGAATCAACACCGCATATTGTGTTTGACGAAAGGTCACGAGAAGACAAACACAAATTTACAATTATTCGAGACGTTGAAAAGGAGCGCCGGCTAGCCGAGATTTTTAACTTCGAGATGTTTTAAAATCTATAAACGACTTGGGTGTATAATATATAGAAGCTCTCGAACGAACCGGTATTTAAGAAAAGTATTTAAGTTAATTTATGGATGTATACCAAGACACTTTCTCTGTCAGAGGAAACCGGAATTCCTGACCAAAACCTACGGCTTTCTGCGGAGTATCTTCGCGTGACGTGACTGTCTACAGGCTACAGCATGAAGCAAGATTCTGGGTGTAAAAATCGACTCTTTGTCCTCGTGTGTTGACGTAGAACAATTGTACTTATCATGTACTAAGCTTTTCGGGTTTGGGGACGCATTCTAAATAAAACTAACCCATGTTTTTTAGCATGAATAATATTTACGCATCGTATTCCTTTCTCTATCGTATTCCGGTGGCTCTGTAGATTATATACATTATTTCATGCACTGAGACGTTCGTCCAGTACAGTACAGTACACCGTCTCAAATTTTGCGTCTTAATTGTCCCCATCCAGCTGCCGTGGTTTCTGAACAAGCGGAAAATATTAAAACACACTCTGGTGTTTCGAGGGTCGAAGCACTGAGCTGTCTGTATGGCGAAGGGCCTTCGTTTGTAACGTCGTTTAATCTTATTGTAGAATACTACCTATACGTTTGAGATTTCTAAAGCATGTATATCAGTGTACAAGGTATTGACATATTGTCTTCAACTTCCTGTAAGACAAAGCGAATTGATGTATGTTTGAGCCTTCTCAAAGCGGCGGCTATTTTTACTTTGAATAAACTGGCGTAGTTGATGTCTGAACTACCTGAAAATGATTATACTTCATCGCCTGTTCAGTACACAAACGACAGAAGCTCAAGACAATACAAACGGGCACAATTCAAAGCGACATTTTCAAAATACCATACCTTGTTTTATTCAAGTATTAGATTTCCCTTATTCTATTGAAATCCGATTGATCTGTTTATCTTATCTTGAAATCTTGTTGAAAATTCAATTGTATACCTCAATCGTTGTGTTGCCTCGAAGCATTCATTATGATAGATGTCGAAATTCACATACAGAAAGCCGTCTTTCAAAACGTCTAACCGGCACAAGTCCGAAACATGAATCTCGCGAAAAAATGTTTGATGTAATTAATTTAATCCGCATATATCGCGCTGTTCGTGTCCGGTGACATAACGCGAGGCTTAAAATAACTTGATTTACCACAAGATATTATTGATGGCATACGAGCAGGGCAGGGGAAGTGGGGGGGGGGGGTAGGTGGGTTAGTCGAGGAAATTCACTTAAATTCAGGCATTAGAACGTATTTTTTCCTGATGCTATAATGTTGAATTCGTAACTTCGGAGTTAGGTGTCAATTGAATTGGGACAAAAGTTCTGGGGTTTTTCTCATGTCACAACTTGTCTTTGTAGACTCATTGACGGTTGTATTGTCAGCCTATTGTCAATGTTAATAAAAATATTTAATATTTATATAAAAAGATAATATAGAGAATAATACATGGGTACGCGGAAATACCAGATTTATTTCGAGTGTTGAACATGATATCTCACGAGTGAGCGCAGCGAACGAGTGAGATATCATGTTCAACACGAGAAATAAATCTGATATTTCCCAAGCACCCATGTATTTTTCTGTTTATTATATAAACAAAATTCAGTGAAAAACAATAAAACGTCCGTGGCAATGCCAGTTTTACAACAAATGATATTTTCACACGTAAAAATATCGTATTTTTTACGTGTGTTCAAATACGATTTTTCTCAGTGGCCAAAAACTCTATATAACACTTATGTTTATATAATAAAATATTTTAATTTTTATATTGCGCGTTAAATATGATCAAATGCATGCAAAAAAATAATTAAAAAAAAGATAAGGAAATTCGTCATTCAATTTTTAAGTTTTCCAAAATTACTATAAATTGTCTGTACTAATTACGTCTGTTTTGGAGAAATATGTTTCTTCTGTTCACATTTTATTCATCCATCAATAAACTCATAATGTCGGACAATTTCCATCAACGTCTGGCAAATATTTTCCTCCCCCTTAATTTTATCCGCCCGTACGTCTATGAGTTTCTGTAAAACCATATGGGTATGGTCGTAAAGATTGAGTCACGATCTTTCTCATCAGCCGAAATACACCATTTTCGAACTGAAAATACGCGGAGTGATTATAACTAGAGAATACTTATGATTTATACGTGGTTTATAGGTATAAACTATTCTAAACTGGCCGTTGAGAAAGATCTTGCATGACTCTACTATTTTACGACCATTATACGACCATAAGCATTTAAGCGTTTCTATGAGACTCCTCTGCAGACTCTTTTCTGTAGGGATTCGAAAAATGCACACTTCTGAATGCCTTGAAAGTCTCGGAAAGCACATTTGAAGCCCCTGTCAGATGCGGTAACTTGTGAGAGCCGACTGAGTTACTGAGCCTAGACTAGGATGACAGGCTTGTCAATAGCAAGTCTAGGAAAATTTCTAGTATGTCTATAAGATTATTGTAATATATCATAAATACTAAAAAATGTTGACAGTCACACATTGTTACAGGGGGCATTCCTAGCTCAAATTAACAAAATAAAGGTTGATGAATGTTTCAACTATGTTTTAACTTCAATCGAATACATGATAGCGTTGGGAAAGCATTAAGAACAGCTAACGAAGATCGCGTGACTGCCAACTCTCGTACACTCTCACCCTCGTCTCATTCGGAAACAAATATGCAGGAAACGAATTTCTGTATAGAGTGTTAGGCGCTTAAATATTTCCGCGCCGACAAGAGCCCTCATTAGAATACGAACCATGCTCAAAATTGAAGCGCAAGCGAGAGTCACAACTTTCATCAGTGCTGTCCTCGTTTGAGGGTTGCTTAAATCTCGCGATTCTATTTGTGCACCTCCAAAGACACGACGGTTGCATATAATGAAAACTATTAGTGCACATTATAAGCAATGAAATCAATCCTCCTCATTTGTATGATACATATCATCACACGGTTATCCTTGAATCTATGATGTATAGCATCATACAGGTGCACTTTTATGTATGACAATATATAATACAGACACATTGATAACCTCACCCCCCCCCCGCCCTAGTCGTTACCCTCATGACTGGAGGCTCCTACCCATTCAACCCCTCACCCTGATGGCGGAGTGGAACGAAAAACTTAATTATTATATATTATATTAATTTAAGTAAATATCAGTACATTGTATAATTTATGTATAAATATATGTATTTATAATCCTAAGATCTTTTATATATTTTTGTCTTACTCTAAGTAGCTTTGAGACGTTTTAAAGTAGAATTAATAACTTTGTATATATTGTATACGAGGGCCACAGGTTTTTCAGTTACATTGCTCTCGTGTGTTTTTTACCCTCTTTAAATAAGGTTGTTCATTCATATATTGTGAGAATTGACGAGAGTGGCTGCTCTCGTTCTTGCTAATTTCCAGTTATGGACTAACTCACAGAAAAATTTGAAGGAGCTCAAAGTTGACGAGATGCGCATGAGAGTTGATGAGCGATAACTCTCAGAAAAATTTGAAGGAGCTCAAAGTTGAAGAAATGCGCATGAGAGTTGATGAGAGATAACTCTCAGAAAAATTTGAAGGAGCTCAAAGTTGACGAAATGCGCATGAGAGTTGATGAGAGATAACTCTCATCAACTCTCATGCGAACTCTCGTCAACTCTCATGCGCATCTCGTCAACTTTGAGCTCCTTCAAATTTTTCTGTGAGTTAGTCCATAAGCTCGCGTTATTTTCCAGCCACCTCTCTCATCGACTCTCATGCATTCTAATCGACTTTGAGCTTGTTCATGAGGTCCATGAGAGAGACGAGAGTCGCTAAACTCGTGCTAATTTCCAGCCATCTATCATCGACTCTCATGCACATCTCATCAACTTTTGAGCCGGTTCAAATTTTGCTGAGAATTAATATCCAGTCAACTCTCATGCAACTCTTGTTCCTGTTCACCACCGGGCAATGACTTGCACAGTTGCAGACTCTCAATTCTCGTTCGATAAGAGGCTTTAAATTAGTACTTCAGTTCACAAGAAAGGAATAAAATTTCACTCGACTTACCTATGTTTCAAAAGCAGCTGCAAGATTTCGCATTATTTTTTCCGCGTTCTGATCAAATTCGTTGCTTCAAAAATTTGACTATACAGATTTCGTGAAATTCTTCTGATATTTCCCCATTTATACGTTCAGAAGTTCGCGTTATCCGATGTCGGCGAAACAGCAGTCTTGAACACAAGTTTCATCTAGACGGCATGATAATTTCCGAACAAAAACTGGGACGTGTTTTGGTTTCCCCTTGATTTGTCTTATCGTGTTTTCATTAATTTGATTGTTTGATTAAGTATTAATATTTATATATTCTGCAGGATGTTTATGACAGGTGTATAACGGAGCTACAATCTGCTTTTGACACATAAACAGGGCTGGAAAAATCATTTTCTTCCAGGGAGCACAATATGGAAACGAAATTTTCTATAGTTGGGCTGCATTGATTTTTGTGCTAAATCTGTTTTCGTGGTTTTTATCCTTGGGAAAAGATGTTATCATGTTTGTCAAAAACTCGAACGAAAAAGATGTTTGGCAAAAACTCGAACGCTTTGGGGCAGCGTAGGACGTACTAGATTGTGACAAATACACCAAAAATTTTTAGATGGATAAAGGGATTAATTCAACTTCAAAATACAAGTATAAAAATCTCGAACGTTTCGAGTTACTAATTTTTCGACAAAGCCGAAGTGCCTTCGCTCGAAAACTAGTTTTCAGATGGTTTGAACCCTACGGCATATGCAGTTTAGGGATGTTTGTCAAATGTAAGTTATTGTTCCCATAGTGGGCCCATAATATAAACGTGACGTAATATAAACTGCACAGCTTGTAACAATCCTGCAGCCCACGTGTTCCTTCACATGTTTTCAACGGCTTGTTGACAATTTTCTACGAAGTTGATGACTCGACAGATTTGTTACAACGTTTGATTCAATTGTAGATTAGTACAGTCCGCTAACTTGACGTTCTGTTCCGCTCTAACCAGCCGCTATCCCGTATCCGCGTTTTCCATTCCACAACCTGGTAGTGGCCTGCTTTTCGGTACATTCAAAGTCCACCTATATGCAGGCTAGATTAGCAGTCCAGTTTCAAAGGCAAAAGTAGTAAAAATAAATACCACTGTATTATATTATTTTTCACGTATTGACTAAGCGAAAAATTGTGAATTTATGTATAATACATTTTCCAAAAGTCTATCATAAAGCAGCTTTGTTTTGTGTAATTTTACTTCAGAAATTTGTAATTTTCATGACAACCATTTTGTCCAAAAATTTATGAACTGTCGGGCGTTGTTTTAAATAGCATATTTGGACGCGTCTACCATGTGACACCAGGATGGCCGAGTGGTTAAGGCGTTGGACTTAAGTTCCAATGTGCGATTGCACGCGTGGGTTCGAACCCCACTCCTGGTAATAATTGCATTCTTTTCATTTTTCTTTTTTTTCCACCCGATTTTAACTTCCTATACAACACGAGAGGTAGAGGTAAGCTAACTGTTCGAACTTTTGCACGAAAATTTTTTTAGAAAGCTTTTAAAACGTGTATTCCACGCTCAAAAATGTCTCGTTCCAGACTCCACCGCGATCTCTGAAGCGCGTGCAATACTTCATGTAATATCAATATTAAAACTCGTCTACCATGTTGATTTTTCATTTTGACAGAAATGGAATGGAATTTTTCTCCTTGTACTTGGTCAACGCATTTGGAAACTTGTAGAATACTAACATGAAGACAAGGAAATTATGTAAGTTTGAAATGATCTGTTTTGTTTGTGTATTTTTGTTGTTTAAACTCGTTTACTTGCCAGTAATATATTATCAATATCAATTTGTACTATATTCTCAACTATTCAACAAGCAGCAAATATTATGTGCCCCTTCAGTTACAGTTGTTTGTGTTTAAGATGTTGATTTTTGACAAATTACAATACTATCTGTAGTTAATGTTGGCATATCTCCGGCGTAGAGTTTACATAGAATGCACCCTGGCCTTTCCTTGTACCTGGCTGGAAAGTTTTGAAATGTTTGCATGCGTGATATTTTTAAAATTCAATAGTAAATATGGCGGAATGTCTCGAAACTGTGCACTTGGTATCTCTCAAACGGTTTGTGCTAGTAGCAGCCTTCCATAGCATCACTGTTCTTCTTAGTTATTTGTGTACTATTCAACATATTGCTTGCGGGGGGCTTGAGATGATCTGGGACTGCTTTCCTTGTTTCAACCCTCCCACCCCTCCCCAATGTGTGCCCCTGAATGTAATAAGAGTAAATATATCAAATGTGTTGTAAATCAGTGATGTATTGTAATTTCATGATTGGATTCAAAATAATTTAATAGTTCAAAAGAATGGAAAATTGTGAGATTAGCACTAAATCATAAAATGGTTGAGCCATCTTTAATTTGTATATTATTTATGTAATCAAAAACATCACAATAGACTAACAGGTATGGAAGAGAAACAGTTAAGAGAGCTGGCAGGATATAAAACAACAAAAGTTTGTTTGCTATTTCAATTTTATAATAGAATTATCCTCAAAGACATGAAAAATAGTTTCACATTAATTCTTACAATGCTGAGCAAATCTTCTCATTCTTTGTCCCAAATGGAATTCTGATGTGCTGTTATCTATATTTGAGGCATCAAGTAAACCTAGATTGATTAAACATTCTATCCATATACAGTGCATGAAATAGTTTTTCATCACTATATGCTCTGGTTGGTATCAACTGTTCAACACCATAAAATGATTAAGAATTGATATTGTTTATTGACATAATATCTAAACACATTCAGTTTTGAGATCAGTGAAAACTATGCTCCATTCAGTTCAGTCATTGAGATCAGTGAAACTATATTCCATTCATTTCAGTCATTGAGATCAGTGAAAACTTTGTTCAATCTAGTTCAGTCTTTGAGATCAGTGAAAACTATGCTCCATTCAGGTCAGTCATTGAGATCAGTGAAACTATATTCCATTCATTTCAGTCATTGAGATCAGTGAAAACT